ATAGTAGGTAGAACTTATTAGATACTAGAGTAATTTGATACCAAGATTGAACTTAAGTCTCTCATTAGGCAGAGGTCTTGGGTTTGAATCATGGGGGATGCGATAGAAAGCCATGAGGGGGTAAGTGGGCATCTACCCTCCTAAGCGGACATTATGTATGATATAACGGCTTGGGCATAGAGGTTATGTCGTTACAAAGTCCAATTGGTACCAAGATTCAACTTAAGTCTCCATTAGGCAGGGGTATTGGGTTCGAATCTTGGGGGAAGTGATAAAAATCCGTGAGGGGTTAAGTGGGCAAAGGCTCACCCAAAGCGGACAGTACGTATGATATAACGGCTTGAACATAGATACAAACTTATGAATTTAGCCAATACAAAGCTATATGATAGCACCCATTTTTTTCGATTCGACGGTTCGATCTATGATTTATCAGTCATGGACGTTGATAAGATCCATCCATTTAGCAGCAGCTTAGGATGGCATAGCCTTAGAAGGGCGAGGTTCNCGTTGATAAGATCCATCCATTTAACAGCGGTCCGAATAATCAACTCTGCAAGCAGTTGTTAGAATGAATAGGTCTTCAAATTGTTCATTTGGTGTTTCCAGTGGCGGACGGGTGAGTAACGTGTAAAAACCTGCCCTTAGGAAGGGAAACAACTGGGTATCAGCAACAGTTGGTTTTATTACGGAACAACTCATGATGGTCATATCGATCTATTTGATTGATTGGTATGAGGTTATCGACAAGAAAGATTTATCTAAGCTACTTCGTTTCTTTTTGTCCAAGACTTCTTTTTTTGTCAAAGTTGCGAATTAACAAAATATTGAGGAATTATCCATACATAAAATTATAATTATGGCTTGCGTCTGATTAGCTAGTCGGTGAGGCAATAGTTTACCAAGGCAATGATCAGTAGCTGTTCCGATGATGAGCCACACTGGGACTAAATTATTTATTTGTATATCTTAATTTTCTATCAGAATAAACATAGAAATCCA